ACAACACCAAGTCAAGGGTTAAGATCCCCTTACCGGCCATCTTTTAAAAAAAAAAAAAAAAATTACTATAATCAAGGATGACACTCTGAATGATTTCAGTCTTTTTAAATGTGTTGAGGTTTTCTATATTACTCAGCTTTTTATCAATTTTGGTAAATATGCACTTGAAAAGGAAATTATTTTGCCATTTTGAAGTGCCGTTTTCTATCTATGTTAATTAGGTTAAATATATTAAATGTGGGCTTTCGATTTTCTAAATCTGAACTGATTTTTTTCCCCTGTTTGTTCTATCAGCCATTGAGAGAGGTGTGTTAAAGTTTCTCATCATGATCTCTTCTTCTAATTCTGTCAGTGTCTAGAGTAGTTTTATTGAGTGTAGATTTGGGATTATAATATCATTTTATGTCCTGACCCCTTTGATGTGAAATTTCCTCTTAATCTCTACTCCTTTTATGGCCTCCACGTCTTCTTTTTTCAATGTTAGAAGGACTTCACCAACTTTTGTTTAGTTAGTGTGGTTTTAGAATAAATCTTTGCCCATCTTTTTTCCTTATTTTTTGGTATTTCTCTTGTAAAAAGCTTATAGTTGTGTGTCTTTTTTATAAGGTTTGATCATCTTAAACTTTAAAATGTAAGTCCATTCCATTTACCTTTAATATAATTACTAATGTATTTGTTTTATATCTACCATCTAAACTATCTTATATTTTAGTAATTTTCTGTTTATGTTCTTTTATTTTTTGTTTCTTATAGACAAATAAAACATTTATATTGTGATTTTTCTCTATTAATTTTTTGATCATATGCTATTTCATTTTTTGTTTAGTCTTTGCTCTAGGAATTACAATATACATTCTTGAATTATTATGTTAAAAACTATTACTTCTACTTTTCTTCCAGTGCTACTAGAACATTAGAATTTATAATTCTATTTATGGGTTACTTGCCTTTTGCATTACAATTACCATGCATTTAATTCTATAAGTATTATAAACTTCATAAGACATTACTATTCTTTCTTTTTATACTTGAAATTCATTGATATTCACCCACATATTTACTCTTTCTTTTATACTTCATATGTTTAAGCAATGCAGTGGTTTTCTCTGTGATCAACTTTCTTCTGCCTAAGGAACTCCATTTTTTGGTATTTGTTATAGTGGAGGTTTGTTATGATAAACTCTCAGTTGTGGTATATTCATTGGAACAGTCAAACACCATTAGCAAAAGTCATTTTTATTTCTTTTCTATACATAAAGAAATGAAAATAAATATTAAGGAAGAGTAGATATTGTAGACATTCTTACCTTTTTCCTGACTTTAATGAAAGTTCCTTTCTATCTTACTCTTAAACATAACATTTCCTGCTAATTTGTGATTTCTGTCTTAATAAAAGGTCATTAATTGTTTTTAAAAAGTATTTTAAAAATAAAGAATAATAAATGAAATCTATCAAGTGCTTTTATGACACCTCATATGGTGATTATATATATAGAGAGAGAGAGAGACCAGTTAAGGTTTTTGATGTTATTAAAACTTTTCAAATTTTTAAATAAAAATTTTAAAAGTTTTTTTTTCTCCCCACATAAGTTTGTGACACCCACCCAAATGTTTTTGGAAAGCAGCTCTTTACTAGATACTTTTACCTTCTCTTCCCATACCTGACTCGCATATGTCAGGAGTAGTGAGCTTTTCAGGGTTTCTCTCTTTTCTTGAGTTAATATTGTTGGGCAGATTAATGTAAGTTATTCTACCTGGAAAGCTTGCATTATCTGTATGTTTTTGTTTTTTATCTACAAAATTTTAAACTCTGGTTTTGGATCAATAATAATAAATTATTCATTTTATTTAATTAAGGTAGAAAATGGGTTTTCCTAAAAAATTATAAATATTTATGTAAATATGTAAATTGAAAGTTAAATTTGAATTATTTTATTTTGAAGAGAGATAAAAAATAAAGTTTCAATCCACTATTATCAAATATTGATCCAATATCAACACTGGGCCAACTATTGACCCAATATTATCAAATATGATCCTTATTATATTCTTACCACATAGAAACCACAATTTTGAACTGAGGAAAGCAGATCCAGTTTTTCATTTTATTTTGCCTATAAGAAACAACTTAATATTTGCATTTCTATAATTTACTTTTTATTTCTAGTTAACTTTACAAGTTTTTTTTTTACAATTATTCAATTATTTTTCTGTTCCATATATATGAGAGTACATGAAAAAGTTCATGGAAAATGGAGTTAAAAGGTAATACAATTTTTTTTATGAACTCTTTGAAGATATCCTGTAAGTTCTTATATTCCTAATTACATCTTATTATTGAAGTCATCATATCTCACATTTTAGGAAGTTTTGTGTATTTTCCCTGAGTGATATTTTGAAGAAAACTACTAGTTCATAGTGGCATGGGCAAGGTCTTTGATGTCAAGATGACCGGATTCTAATATTGGCTATAGTACTTGATAGCTGTGTGGTTTGGGGGCAAAGGTTTCTTTTCTGTAGAACAATGCTATTTGGGATTGCTTTGCACATTCAATGAAACTTTAAGCACTTACTGAGTGCTTACTCTATGGCAGCCACTCTTCTAAGTGCTTCATAAATCTAACATTTAATCTTTATTACAATTCTATGCAGTCGCCTCTCTTATCATCCTTTTTTTAAAGATGAAACAGCTCAGACTGAGGTTTTGAGTAACTGCCCAAATTTACACAGATGGCAAGTAGCAGGGCAAGAACGTAAACCCAGTCTGGCTCCAGAGTCTATGATCATATCACTACTCTCCTCCACATGTACAAGACATCTAGTTTGGTTAGCACCCATTAGATACATAAATGCTCATTATCCTTCTGCTTAACATGTCACCAAATATTTTAAATGTATTCAGAGTAGTATTTCACAATAAGTTAATTGCTCTAGCTACTACATCATCAAATTTTGGTTAAAATCCAGAATAAGAGAAATATTCCAAACTAATATGGCATCAAGTAACAAAATTTCCTATTCTTTCTAAATATAAATCTTCCTTATCCCTTTGGTCTCTTCTGAGTCTTAATTCCTCTCAGAGGAATTGTTACAATACCATGACTTGTTACTTATTTAGAATAGGTAGTTTGCTAATAGTATCGTCATCTGACATTCAGGAGTCAAAATATCTTTAATGAGGTATGAATTGCTAGCTGTGGAACTGGCTTATTCAAAAGTATAATTTGTGGATGACTATGCTGAGAGTACATGGTATGAAATTTGAAGAGAAAGGTAAATGATCTTCATTTCGAAAGTACTAGTTTCCCAAGGACAGAGATTGGTACCAGGTCCTCCCCTTACATTTCACTCACCAGATCAACAATAAGAAAGAGGTTCTGTTGGAGGCAGAGGTTCCGGTTAGATCATTCCCAGCTGAGGAGAGAGCAATGATAGCTGAGAGAAGCAAGGATGGGACAAGAATGAGGGAACTGGTCTGAGACATAGCTGGTGGAAGGTGACACACTGAAGGGACATGTTGATAAATTATGCTGTACATCTTATAGCCAAAATTATATGCTACACTGGTTAAGGGATTTCACAGTTTTAGAGAGGTAGCCTTCATAAATGTCCAGTATCTTCTGAAAAGGGACTTAGAGTAAAACAAAATAGAGAAATGATACTTCGTCCTTTTTTCTTACAAGATGCTGGAATTTACAGATATTTAGGGCTTTTAACACAAGTGCCATAAAATTGTGCTAAAGAATTCTGATTTCTGAATAAATGGAGACAAATTTGATACAATTTTCCCAATACTTAACTTTACCATGTATATCAAAACAGAGAATTGGTTATTCTGAAACTGTGTACAAAATTTGGGGGGATAATTTTCAGTACTTAAGGCAAGCTCTATATACATACTCAGACCCTAAAATAAGTAATTATTGAAGAAAAAAGGCAAAATCACACTTAAATTATGTTAAATTTTGACAATAGTAATACCAACACATTTTTGCCAGTATGGATTTATCTAAAAGGGAATATTCCAAGGTTCACAGAGAAAGTAAGCACAAACCCCATGCACTTAAATCACACATATACATGCACGCACGAATGCACACACGCATACAGAAAAGTGTAGAAAACTTCTGACATTTTCTCTCTCTTGTAAGAACTATGTGATTAAATTCTCTTTCTTTTCTCCAGGTGGTATTTTTGAATATGTGGAATCTGGCCCAATGGGAGCTGAGGAACTCGCATTTAGATTTGCTGTGAACACAATCAACAGAAACAGAACCTTGCTGCCAAATACTACGTTAACCTATGACACCCAAAAGATAAACCTCTATGACAGTTTTGAAGCATCCAAGAAAGGTAATTGATAGATATTTAACTCTAAGTTTTCTGAAATTCAAATTTCCAGGTATTATTAACAGATTTCTTAATCTCCACATGTGGTTAATAAATTGTTAGGAACATTTTCATGCAAAGGTTTTATTTTTATTTTTTTAAATATACATAAATTTTCTGAGAAGGTAAAGTGATATAATTGCCTATTGCAAAAAGTCTGCTTATAACGTGAAATGCAATTACAGTTCATACCGAAATTGCTTTTTTTCCCCATTAATCCTTCTGTTTTGTTATTAAACTATTCCTATTTTCAAGAATTCACTAAATAAAATAATATATATCAGTGGATTTTACCAAGGTTTTCCAATCCATTTTTATATTTTTATTTGCATTTTCTGCACATACCACTATATTATTGCTGTATTCTCAGCTTATTGACTGCTTTGAAACTTCTGTTGTTCCAAGTGACTTCAAAAATTCGGCCCAATTTTAAAACTTTACTGGAAATTTTTTTTTTTCCTTTTTGTCTTTTTTCGTGTCCGGCAACGGATCGCAACCCT